GCATTCAGTGGGGACATAATTACGGATTATAATGACTTATACTGTCTTTTTACGCATTGCATTGCATCGCGCCGCATAAACATAAAACCATGTCTGCATTTGTGATCAGAGAAATGGCAAACTACAAACGCTACTCTACACTGCTCAAAACTCGCGGGTAACACTTTACTTGAAGGGGTGTGCGTAAGACTGACATGACACCTTCATAATCATGACATGAGGCTTGAGTGAGCGGCGGTCGGTGGGCTTGGGAACGGCGCGACGGGCGGGCTTGCGGCAACCACATGTGACGACCCCGGGCTGGACTCCGCTTCGTCCACGGTAAAAGCCGATCCGACGATCCACAGCGCGAAGTTGATGTATTCCCTCAGGGAAAACTTGAAATCGCATCATATGACCCCTTTAAATAAATTTAATATATAGAAATATCATGCTTCTGTTTTCTTCTTCTTAGTGTCCTCAAACGGACCTCCGACCCCAACCAGCCACCTAGAGAAGAAGTCCAGTGATGCTCTGCGAGATGTGACCACACCTGATTTGAAATCAGGCAAACCTAGCGATGTTATATGCATTGAGGACTAGCACGCAGCCATTCCGTACTCTTTCTGTACAATACCTATGGACAAAACTGTGGAGAACTCCTCCAAACTATGAATATTGAACAGCAAACCTTATCAGTTGTACTTTTGTCTTTCAGAATCTGTACTTGTACGCGCCTGTATGTTTTATTCAGCAGAGTTCAGTTCTCTTTTATTCTTTTTCAACTTCTGCGATACGAAAGTCTTGATCGATTAACGAGACTAAGGACGCTATTAAAGAGGGCACCGTTGTTCTCACAGTCCTCTGAGGTTTTTTTTTAATTATTATTAGAATTATTATTTTTACATCATGGCTTATTTTTCTTGGCCATGAAGGACATTTTCATCTCTGCTAACGTTGAGCCATCTGGAGGTGCAACTAGTTTCTGGCCAGTTCAAGGACCGGACGTCCCACCTCTACAGCCTGTGCTTTGCTCCTGGCTCTGCTCATGGATTCTGTATTGTTGCTGCCCCTGCAGGTTATTGCTGTGTAGTGCATCTAAAGACAGAATTGTGCAATGACTGTCATTTTCTCTGGAAAACTTAAGATGATTTTACAGTACGTCACCACTAATGTTTGCTTTTTGAATTATACTGGATTGTTTTTTAAGTTTACATTCCTCTTTAAAGAGAAAAAGAGAGTTGACCATGAAGGTTAAAAAGGTGCTCTCAGTAATTTTTTCATTTGTAAAAATTTAGAAAAAAGAGTGTACACTTAAAATTATCAGTATACTAAGAAAAAGCTTATTCACATGGAGTTGAACTGCCTCGCGTTAGATCACATGACCTACTAAATAATACTCACAAAGATTGCACCTTGAAAGGATAGAGCAGTATTAAATCAATGGCAAATGAAATGTTTCATAAACTATGAGCTGATAGTTTGAAAATCTTGAAAAAAATTAACACAACTTTAATGGAATGTTTCATTTTAAATGCAACATGAACACTATTCAAATCATCTGGCAAGCTGTTGAATACTTCAAAAATATTTTGATATGTCCCTTGGTTTGTAAAAACAAAACAAAATAATTTCAAGAAATTCATTTGCAATGGAAATATATGGGATAATTATACAGACTTTTAACATGGAGCAAACTCTGCCCACAATTCCATAAGCCTGGGAATTTTGAAATTATATTCTATTATTCTATTATTGTTGTGTACCTTTATTATATTATATTCATGCAATCAACAGCATGTCTGGAATATTTCTGTTTTTAATTTCTGAATTATGTTCCACAGGGAGATTTGTGCATTGTTTCGACCATGTTCTTGAATTCCTCACATTCAGATGCTTTTAATTTTTAAACTTAATTCTCCCCATTTTGTATTATTAATATCATATCCTTTTATTGTCCGATGCATTTTGCTTGACATTTTGTGAATTGCTGAAAACTTGGACCCTAAGTGCGTTGGTTTTACTAGGCCAAGCTTATGGATAGTATTGACATGATTGTTCTGGTGCCATACGTGGTGTGGATATGAATTGTTTTTGTTTCAATTTGAAATAATATGCCTTGTGTAACTGTTTTTAAGCAGCGCACTTTATATGGAGATCAGATGTTTCCATAGAGACGGCATCTCCTATGGGCCATTTCAAACGCAGTAGAAACCTCTTTAAATAACTTGTATACTCAGTTTCAGTCTGTGGTATGTCATGTTAATTAATGTAGACAAAGTATTTTGTTTGTTTTCTGCATCTCAGCATCAATGTAAATGGCACTGAAGTGTCATGGCTGACCGTAAACGTGATCATAGCTTCTTTTGCAGTAGTTTTAACTTAAGGGGTTCAAGATGATGATCATTTATGTGTAAACTATGAATGTGGAAAAAATGCAGTTAAATGTTCACACGCACACTTGCGCTAGAAAAAACTCATGATTTCAATGAAACACAAAGACAGCCTCAAGAGTCAAGGGATCTTAAATCCAAGGTTATAAAGAGAGTGTCGGCAGCATAAAATGTGTTGTGAAATTAAGTTTTGTTTTAATCCTGTGTGATGAGTTTACACCATTTCATTTGTACTTTTTATCACTGTATTGATACTGACATTAAGCTCCATTTAAAGGCAATCAAACTGAAGCCAAAATGAATGTATGAAGTAATTAAAAAGCTTCAGTCTAATATTAGAAGTCTTTTCAGTCAAGTACACTAGGCTTCAAAAGCTACCAAAAGACCCTGGTCAAGACACCTTTGTTGCAACGAACGCATAACATGTGAGATGTCTTTAGATTACTTTTGACCAGAGGGATCTTTGTCCTGGTCTCTAAACAGCTGTGGGAGAAAACAAAAGAAAAAAACAGTATTGTTATTCTACAGTGATAAGAATATCAAAAACAGATAAATGAACTACCGTCATTGTACTCAGTGTATTTCAGGGCTGTCCAAACTCGGTCCTGGAGGGCCGGTGTCCTGCAGAGTTTAGCTCCAACATACCTCAACACACCTGACTGGAAGTTTCTATGCCTAATAAGAGCTTGCTTAGCTGGTTCAGGTGTTTGATTAGGGTTTGAGCTAAACTCTGCAGGACACAGGCCCTCCAGGACCGAGTTTGGACAGCCCTGGTGTATTTGTTTAATGTTTTAATAAATAATCTCCAATAATTTTGCCAATGTTTGCTTCTAATTTGAATGTAAAATCCTGTGGGGAACTAATTAATGAAAACTTAAGTCATGTTTTTGCATCGTGTGTGTGGGTCTGACAGGTCTTAGAAAAGGGGGCACTGTAGTGTCAGACTGTCACCGTCTTAATGCAAGTAATAGATATTTATGGTGTTTTATTTGATAGTGGAAATTACAGTGAAAACTTTAGTCCATATATAGTTTGTAGACCACAATCGAGTCTACTGCACATTTAAATTGATAAAGCCAGTGAAGACCAAACCCACATTTAGTGTTATTTTGAGAAAAAAAAAAAAAAAACATTAATCCATGAAAGACATCAGTTATGCATGAATTCACTTGTTGCAAATGCCTCACACCTGAAGACAAACTTTTGCTTTGAGTAGGTTGGGAAAGCAGTGGTTTTGGATCCTGAAAGCCATGTTGAAGAGACAGCAACAAAGTCTCAAAGCCAGAAGGAATAAACACATTACTGGCTTGCTCCAGGGGCTGGGAATCAAGACTGAAGAGAGACTGGAAACTTGACTCTTCTGGCATAGAGAGCTGAAACCCAGTGTGGGCCAACTGAGATGTGGGCTTATAAATTGGTGCCTGAAACCTGGAGTGCACTGACTGGTAGCTGGCTTGTGCGGATTGCAAGCCACTTGGCTGGGACACAGACTGATGACGGGCTTTAGCTGACTGGTAGCTGCTGTGTGCTGACTGCAGGCCACTTGGTTGTAACACAGTCTGGTAATGAGCCTGTCCTGGTTGTTCAATGCTGGGCTGGTACTCAGACTGGTAGCGAGCTTGTGCTAACTGCAGGCTACTGGGCTGGAACACAGATTGGTAATGAGCTTTAGCTGACTGGTAGCCGGCTTGTACTGACTGCAGGCCGCTGGGTTGTGATGGAGCCTGGTAAAGAGCTTTTCCTGGTTGTCCACTAGGCTGGGACACATCCTGGTACCTGGTTTGTGCTGACAATGGGCTACTGGGCTGGGAAAAAGACTGGTAACTGGCTTGAACTGACTGCTGGCCAAAACTTGAGGTCAGGATTGTCCTGCTACCAGAAAATAGTTTGGAAACAACTTGAAGTCTACTTCTCTGGGGCTTGACAAAGGACTAAGAACTAGCTAACTGTTGGCCACTGGACTGGGAGCCAGTCTGCACTGGTTGCTGATTACTAGAGGCCATCGATTCATTACTAGTCTGCACAAGAGTTTGATAATTAAGCTGTGCTGGCTTGGACACACTGTTCACACTTGTATTCAGTCCAGTGGCCAGAGAACCAGAATCAAACCTGCCACTACCAGCTGAAGATATCAGTGAGCCTTGAGTTTGCCTTCTAGCATCATATTCAGAAGCAAGGTTATATACACTTGTTATTGGACCAGAGCCATAGGAGCCAGTTTGAGGACTATGGCTTAGACTGCTATATACACCCGTAACAGCAGCACTGTAAGTGATATTCTTGGATCTTAGTGGCCTGATGGGATCTGATGCATCTCCTTGGCCTTACCAGCTGGAACTTTGTGGCTTCACATCATCCTGCATAGGGAGGCCAGGCTCATAATATCCAGGAAAACCTCCACTGCTAAAGCCACCAACTAAAACAAGTACAGAGACAATCAGACATCTTCACAAACTGTAATTATAGAACTTGACTGAATAAGACTTACCAAAACAGTGGACACAAAAGCTAAAAAGTGCTAAAGAAAATCTGCAAAACAAAACCGGTTGTTAAACACATTTTGCTTTATAGAAAACACACACACACACACATTTTGCTTTATAGAAACACACACACACACACACACACACACACACACATACACACACACACACACACACTTTGCTTTATAGAGAACACACACACATACACAAACACACACACATTGTTTTATAGAAAACACACACACACACACTTTGCTTTATAGAAAACAGACACACACACACACACACGCACATTTTGCTTTATAGCAAACACACACACACACATTTTGCTTTATAGAAAACACACACACACACACACACACACTTTGCTTTATAGAAAACACACACACAACCCCAGCCCTCTAACCACTTTAGCAACACCACTACAAAAGTAGGAGACACATTTCAAATATCAGTGTTGTTAAACTGGACATTTTATAATGCCTGAAACTGCAATTTAACAATTGCCTAGACAATCAGTTGTCAAGGAAACCTGTAATATACAAGTATTAGGTTCAGATGTCACAGCCCTTATCACAGGAAAAGCTAACTTTCTATTCAGTCTTATTAAACTGATTTTGTAAAGCACCTGTATCTTTTTGTCTTACATAATGATATTCATGAATTCAGTGAAAAAAAAAGGAAGATCTGCCAAGAGAGCATTGCAATAGTCCAGCCTGGACAGAACAAGAGCTTGAACAAGGAGTTGTGAAGCATGTTCCGAAAGAAAGGGCCTGATCTTCTTGATGTTGAATAAAGCAAATCTGCA